GTTAGGGTGATTTGGGGGTGTCAGGGTTGTTTGAGGGAGGGGGTTTGGGGTAACTTGGGGGTGTCAGGGGAAGTGTTTGAGGGGGTTTCAGGTAGTTTTGGGGTGTCAGGGGAGGTGTTGGGGGTAGTAGGGGAGTGTTTGGGGGTGTCAGGTGGTTTGGGGGTCATGGGGGGGTGTTATGGGGGTCAGGACTTCGGGAGCTGCCTGATTTTGGGGGGTACAAGGTGAGCTGGGTTTTTCGAGGCTCTAGAGCAGGAGAAGGGGAGGAGGAAGGTGTGTGGGGGATGGCGGGAGGCCCACCGGTGGGTTTTGGGGTGCACTGGGCAGGGGGGGTCCCCCAACCCCATTAACCCCTCCCTCCCCACAGTGGTGGAGTTGTGCCTGACCCACGAGCTGGACCCGGAGGCGTTGGCCAACGAGCTGTTGGCCTTCGTCACCAGCAAGAACCTCGGCACCCAGCTCTCCACCGATGGCCTCGACGCATTCGAACACGAGGTGGGGGGGTCCCCTGATATCCCCCCCTCACCCCCAAACCCCCAAGAAAAGAGGGGGACACACACTCACCCTTCCTCCTCTTCTTCCTCCTCCAGGTCCTCACTAAGCGGAGTAGCAGGTACCACCAGAAAAGGGACAACCGCTACAGTGGTCTCCACGACATCTACTCCCTCCAGGAGCTGTATCCCGCGGGTTTTGGGGCGATTATTAAAAAAAATGGGGTATTAGTGTCCCGCGTGGGGTGCATCCTGCTAACCCTCCCTCAGTGGAACACGTTTGGCCCGTTCTCTGGAAACGAGGCCTCATTAGCACCGGTTAATGGGAGGAATTCATGGCTTAGGGGAGTGCTGGTGGGTGTCCCCCCAAAAATAAGGGTCTTGGGTGCTCCTTAACGAGCCGGCAGCCTTGACGAGGAAGAAGATGATGAGCTGCTGGACACCTACACCACGCCGTCCAAGGTGCACGCCAACACCTCAACCAAAACCTACCCCCAAATTAATCATTTTCTGCCTCGAAACCCCTTCACCCCAAAAACATCCCCCCCCCTTTTTTTTTTTTACAGGGTTCCCAAAAACGCAGCAATTCCACCCCGGAAAACCCCCGGCCCAAGCGGACCCTCGCCTCCCGCAGCCCCTACGCGCTTTTTTCTCCCAATACCTTCTCCCCGAGGTAAACCATTGCGCCGGGACCGGCGCCAGCGCTCGGCGGTGGTGCCGTTGCCAGTTGACACCGTCACCCCGCCTTTTTGTCTCCACAGCGTCACCCCCTCCCAAAAATACACGGCGCGCAGCAACCGCGGCGAGGTGGTGGTCTCGTTCGGCTCTGTCCAGGGTCCTTCCTGGAGCGGTCGGGGCGGCCGCAGTTGCACCCCAAAACTTTTCGGTTCCCTGGAAGAAAATCTGACAAAAAGCTACAAATACATGTTCCAGAAAGCGCTTGACGTCCGGGAAGGTGACGCCACGACCCTGGGCGGGGATCCCCCCCTCTATTTGGTGGTAACCCCGTTTCTGGGGAGACGTTTTGGGGTACGGATAACGCCTGTGCTTCCTCCATAGTGCTGTCTTGGAGGATCGAGGAGCTCGGTGATGTCTTGAAGAGCCACCATCACCTGGAGGGCTTTGCCTCGGTGTTGCTCCCGGCGCAGGTGAACCCCTTGCCCCAACACCCACTTTTGGGGGGAACCTCTTGGTATTTTGGGGCAAAAACTGACTGGGTTGGTGGGGTTTTTTTTGTTTGTTTTTTTTTTTTTGCCATTCTCCCACAGGAACCGGTGACGGTACTGGGTCAGATCGGCTGCGACAGCAACGGGAAGCTCAACGCCAAATCGGTGGTGCTGGAAGGTGACCGGGAACACTCCTCGGGCAGACAAGTCCCCCTCGACCTCTCAGAGCTGAAGGAATATTCCCTCTTTCCCGGTCAGGTGCGGTTGCGGTGATTTTTGGGGTGCAGGATGGGGGGAGCACCCCAACCTTCCTCACCCAGATTTTGAGCCTGATGCCATTTTCCCACCCACCTTCAGATCGTGGCACTGGAGGGGACCAACACCACCGGGAGGAAGATGGTGGCTTCGAAGCTCTACGAGGTGACGGCACGGCGCTGCCGGCATCCCAAGAACGGGTCTGGGAGCTGGTTTGGGGGTGAAAAAAGGAAGATTTTGAGGCAGTGTTTGTGGTTTATCTGCAGGGGGTGCCCCTTCCCTTCCACACGCCGCCAGAGCCAGCCCCAGGTGAGCCCCGACGCTTCCCCTGCCGGCGGCCGCTGCGGTTTAAAGCCGAGATGTGTTAAACCTTCCCCACCGGACCAGGGAAAGGTTTTGGGGTGTCCCTAAAACCCCCCTTTTTGTCCCCAAAACCTCCTTCTTTTGTCCCCGCAGAGCAGAGGATGGTGCTGGTGGCCTGCGGACCCTACACCACCTCTGACAGCATCGCCTACGACCCACTTGCCGACCTCGTCGAGGTGATCGTCCGCGACCGCCCCGACGTCTGCGTCCTGGTGAGGGGCTGCGGCAGGGACAGGGTCCCCCCGATCTTGGGGTGGGGGGGCTTGGGGGACCCTGATTTTATTAATCAATTATTTATATTAATTGAAGCGATGATATATTATAAAACAAGAGGCCGCAGCGTCAAAACACGTTTGAGGTTTCGAAACCTTGAAAATCAGCATAAAAATGCTGCTGAGGAGAGAGGCGGCTCGGGCATGATCCCAAAACATCCGTTTTTCACTCTAAAGTGACAAAAAAGCCCTGTTAAGAGCAAATTGTGGTCTTTGAGCATCCCCAGCAGTCAAAGTCTCCCTTCCTGCTCCAAAAGGACCTGCTGCTTTTATCAGTCTCCGTTTTGGGCTCCATTTGGCCTGGGTTGCAGGATAAAATCTGAGCTTCATTAACAAGAAGTATTACCAAAAATACCTTTTTCTGGGCAGTTTAATGTGTTTAACTTGGCTCTTGGGGCCGGCGACATGCACGGGGCTGTCCCTGCTTGTGGTTTTCTCTGATTTTTTTCACTGTTTCTTCACAGTTTGGGCCATTCCTGGATGCCAAGCATGAGCAAGTGGAGGTGAGGGAGAACTGGGGGGCCCTGGGGTCCCCCCATTTGTTTCATCCCTCGGTGGGGGGGCTGATTTTCCCCCAAGCTCCTACATCCGTGTGGATTTTGGGTTGATTGATCCATGGTGCTGGACTCTGGAAGGGCGAAGAAACTGGGGAAGGTGGTGGGGGTGTCCCAGCGTCCTCACCCTGCACCCCAAAAGAAGGGGGAATTGTGCAAATCCCATTTTTTCCCCTCAATTCCTAGAACTGCCAGCTCCTGGGGTCCTTCGCTGAGGTCTTCAAGCTCTGCCTGAAGACGATAATCGAAGGCACAAGAAGGTAGGGATGGTAACTGCGTGAAATTATTAGTTTCCACAGGTAGTTTTTGCTTAAAAACTCCTTTTTCTGCACCAAACAGGCTCTGGATGGGGGAGGTTTCCACCAATTCCATGAGGGAGAAGGGTGGCAGAGGGGGGAAAATCATTTGATTTGGGTCAAAAGCTTCGTAACAGGCTCTGAAATGGATTTGAGTTGTGTTTGCCTGCTGTGAGATGTGTTTATAGCTGGATCCTGGCTTCTCTCCTCCACAAAAAAAACAAGGAAAAAGGAACCGGGAACGGTTGGCGGCACTTTTTTTTTCCCCTCCCCGGTGTCATCCCGGGGCCGGTTGACGGCGCTTCGCCCTTCCCGGCGGTGCGAGGGACGGCATGAACAAAGAACAAGTGAGGGGGGTTTTTTGGTTTTTTTGTGTGTTTTTTTGGGGGTGGTTTTTCTTGGTTTTTTTCCTTCCTGCCGGGCGCTGCCAGCCTTTTTCATCCGCTGCCAGACTCCGGCAGGGACAGGGA